AGTAGAGTGTGTTTGTGTGTGCATTTGTGCGTGATCTGTATTACCCGTGGAAATTCCCCGAGGAAATAAAATGCAAATTATTTCAGTGTATTGTGTAAGGTCATCGCGGGCAGTAGTTGCCAAGATATCGGAATGTCTCGGTACTTGTGTTCTATTTTTGTACCAATAATACATAGTGTATATTATTCGAAAGTGAAAATAAAACGGGCCATGTTGTCTAAATCTACGGTGCTGCGACATAGTATCAATAAACTATGTTAGGCAACATTTATATTAAGAACCCACTAAATCAGGCTGACTACAGTTTTCGAATTTTATTGTTGCACTCTCGATGGTACAATGTATCAACTATTCTGTCCACCAGTTGCGTCAACAGTAGATAAGTCATTCCCCAAACGCAAAAACTACACTTTTTCCCCAAAGTTGCAATGTGAGTGATTCGTTGTATTTTCACAGTTCTTTTCACATATTTTTTCGATATTCCAACAGCATCGTTGGCATTGACAGCATGTTAACTTCTGTAGTTCTTTTTTTATTTTGATAAAACTTGTTATTTTTGGCTGCATGAGTAATGGGATTTACACATTTCAATATGAATAAACGTAAAACGTAGGCTAAGTTTGGTATAAACAACTAACAATAAAAGATGACAAAAGGTTGAGGCGGTCAGGCTCAGGTAGAGGGACGTTTTCCCCGACACCTGTAAAATTGTGATATGTGTTTCTGGACTTGAACCGGATGCCTGTTTTCCTTGTGTTCTGCTAATGCTTTGTCTATCGCATCTAAAGAATGAAGGGGGTAATGCTATCCTGAATGTTCCAAATACAAGTGATAGTAATACGTAGTTATGTAAAAATAGATTTCAAATTGGTAATTAAAGTTATTGTTAATTGGTTAATTAAAAATTGTTAAACATGTTATTGTTGACCAACATAATTTTACGTTGCTAGAAAGTACTAATCTTTGGGATAATATACATAAAGAGGAAATTGGAGAAGCAGGTTTAGTAATAAAGAACTTCTTATTTTCTCCCTGATTTGTAGGAAAATGTTTCTCAACTTGACTATTTACATTTTGTAGTTTCAAGCAGTGTTCAAGATGGCTACCCCCATATAATATCGGTGAAATAATCGCATTTATCATATTATCACTTGTACGCCAGCTGACTGTGGTTATTTCCAGGCTTGAACCGGGGGCTCAAATTACTCAGGGCAATCCAGACATGTACCAGGCTGCGTAAAAAGCATTATATGTCCCCTACTGCAATATAGACTTGCCCAGAGTGGACGCGGTCACAAGGCGGAGCCCGCGAGATGCGAAAGCCAATCGTTTAGTCAAAACCCAAGCAGTTAGCCAATTCGCTAGCAAGTTAGCAAATTGGCTGCCGCAATACTTCCGAGACTTGCTGTAACATTCTCGCAACTGTGAAGTCCTTCCAGTCTGTTATTCTTGTTTCGTTTGCAGAGCACATCACAGTATACGTGAGTGAAAAAAAAAACTAAATCACTAATACACATGTGCATTGTACGTACACGACTAGTGTACATGCAAATTAGAGTGTTTGAAGATTTGTGCTTCGTTCATGAGAAATCAATAACACTAAAAATTACATCTTCTCGTCCATATTGTAATTTTAAACTCAAGTTTTGCCTACTCGTCCCAGAAGAGAGCTAAAAGTGATTAGTGCCGTGTCCCAACAAAATTATGTGCATGTATATAATTATGGGATTTCATATTTCCCAGAAAAGGGTGACTTTACGTGGAATGAAAATATTGCCAAAACGTTGTCTTATCTGCGATTCGGCGCCATTGTGCCCATTACCAAATTGTCTATTTTGAAATAAGATAAATTTAAATGCACATACAACTTCTATTACGAAAGATCGCCGGTGTTTCGATCATCTGCCATGTTTAATCGCCCTTATGGCTGTATTTGTCTCATGCCCGCGTAAATTTCGTCGGCATAAAAAAATACAAAACAGATGTGAAAACGGGTCGCTGGATGCAACCGAGACTGAGTCACAATAGAAAAGCTGTAAACGACCTCAGTCCTAAGAGAACTGAAACTGAAAAAAATGGTCTGGGAAGAAACCAATACCGGGTAAAGTCTTCACACTGACCTAAGGTATTCGATACGCCTTTATTACTGTCCCATTTTAAAACGGTGCGAAATAAGAACGGTGTTGTGCGGTCTATCTCAAAAGATTGCATACTATACAACGTGCTTGCAAATTTCTGTAGTTATGTTTAATCACAACCTATATTCTATTTACATGTTCAAGACTTCATCAAGATTGTTCATTTGATCAGTTCATTTGTACTGACAGATAAATAACTGAGCGTTGGTTTGTAATCGACACTTTCCCCCTGGTCACGTGTTCGAATGTAAGTTGTGAATTGAAGCGTATCGATGACGTATCCAATTAGAAAGTAAACAATCACGAGACAAGCACAAAAGAATGTGAAATTCAATCGTGGCATGATTACATTCTGTAGCTCCATTGTATCTTGGGAGTTATGAACTTTACTAGACAAAGCAACCATAGATTTGTATCAGAGGTCAAACACTTGGAATCATGGGGTGGCTGGAAGAGCTTGATTTATGAATTTTGTCGTTGTTTGAACATTCTTCTTGAACTGAAACGTGCAAGTATATTTTCCCTTCAGTGGCTTGTATGCACCTTTTTTGTCTCGGTGTCCAGCATGCAGTTTTTAACAAAACCTCAGCCCATACCGATGATTTAAAGTTGTCTACCCCTTATGACCACAAGGCTGTGTTTCATACAACTGCATTACGGCTGGTTATGTATTGTATATCAATTCAGTTCATTTTGGGGGATTTTTCTTCTACATCGCCCCATTTTCCCAATCTTGCTTATATTTACTAACAGTTTATATTTGAACAGGCGGGGAAACTGTCATTTTCGATGTGAAATCACACATTTTATTACTGCGACTGTGAAAAAAACGCGCGTGATGACGGGAAAATCATTCTGTTTAGAATGACCTAATTACAGGTATGTACTAGTATTTCCAAAGCTGCATAATATGTGACTTTCCTCACCCCAGTAACCCCGTACCTCGTTGTACATACAGTAAATAAGATGTACCGGGCCGTTCGATGTTTGCTATTGTCCACCATATGTGAGGCGTTTAGTCAATTGAAAATTTCGCCACCGAAATTAACTGACGGCCTACATATCGGAGAGTTTGCAAATCTGCAAACAGGCATAGTTATATATTCAACAGTTGTAGTGACATCAACTCTATGGCTTTGCATTGGTAATACACAGAATTACAGAATAGAACTCGAGAGGAAGACATTCACATTGTGAATATGTGAAAAGTGGTTTTCGTAACAAGTGCCACCAGATTACGGTTGGTCCATTTGATTTTTGAGAGGGGTCAGAACTAAAAAAAAAATTGTGAAGTAAAGGGTTCTTCAAAAAAAAATTGTTGCTTCACCAGTGTAAAAAAATATTTGTCACTATATTACTTAGGAAAAAAGATTTGTCCATTAGCTGTTTCATCTCTGAACACAGTAGATTCACTTGAATTACTGTGTCATAAGAATATGCCAATTCTTCCTGCCAAGCTAAGGGGGCACAGAGTACAAGAAGAAACTAGGTCATATATAAATGTATGTTAATGAATCCGGTTTGTGGATTAATTAATAGCAGAGAGAAAATTAATATCTGCATTTCAATATTAGTTTCAAAAACAATTTCACTCTGCACCCAACTCACCTACCATCTCATTCTCACCACCCACCTCACTTTCACCAACCATTCCACTCTCACCACCTACCTCACTCACACCTACCATCTCATTTGTTACCACCCACCTCACTTTCACCAACCACTCCACTATCACCACCCACCTCACTCACACCTACTAACTCATTCTCACCACCCATCTCACTCACACCTACCATCTCATTTTTACCACCCACCTCACTTTCAGCAATCACTCCACTATCACCACCCACCTCACTCACACCTACTATCTCATTCTCACCACCTACCTCACTTTCACCAACCATTCCACTATCACCACCCATCTCACTGACACCTACCATCTCATTCTTACCACCCATCTCACTTTCACTAACCATTCCACTATCACCACCAACCTCACTCGCACCTACTAACTCATTCTCAGCACCCATCTCACTCACACCTACCATCTCATTCTCACCACCTACCTCACATTCACCAACAATTCCACTATCACCACCCATCTCACGCACACCTACTATCTCATTCTCACCACCCATCTCACTCTCATCTACCATCTCATTCTCACCACCTACCTCACATTCACCAACCATTCCACTCTCACCACCCATCCTACTCACACCTACTTACCTCATTCTCACCACCCATCTTCACTTTCACCAATCATTCCACTCTTACCACCCATCCTACTCACACATACATACCTCATTCTCACCACCCACCTCACTCACACCAACCAAATATTGTACTTTTTGTTATAGGTATACACACAGAACACATGATATTATTCAAGATGGCCGAATGGGGGCCATTTTTGTGCTAAAAAATCATCAAAATCAAGCATTTTTCGGCTGTTCACAGATAGATGGATTTTGTTCAAACTTGGTATATACGTTGGACATTATAGGACCTTGATGCACGTCATTTTGTTTTTCAGATAAAATTCCAAATGGCTGAATTGCGGCCATTTGTGTTTTAATGGATATTGTTCTAGTGCCATATGTCTGATTTGCTTTGACTGATTATGTTAAAATTTTATATATTCATTATACATGTATTCAAAATAGCTGATTTTGTTTTAATTAATGCTGTTCCAGAGCAATATCTCTCAATACTCATTTGATACAGATACAAATGTCAATCAATGTTAAACATTCATCATAATCATATTCCTGACATGTTTATGTTCCAGCTATATTACTATAAACAAAACTATATATCTTAAATTCGATAACTGCATGGCATGGCTTGTTCAAAATGGGTCATTACACCTCAGCATTTAGATATGGAAGGAGAGGATGGATGGGACCAACCCTTATCAAAGTACCAATCCATCCCACCTGGCAGTAATATATCAAGGTTGGCGACATTGTCATCCTCCATAGCGACATTGACATTCATCAAAAGTGGCGTCTTGGAGATGACACTAAATTAATCTACAGAAATGATGGCCTTATGCGATCGGTCCAACTCGATACAGCCCAGGGCCCTACTAATCGCCTAGTACATAAATTGTACCCCTTGGAAATTATTTCCGATAAAATTTCAAATGTGGTCTCCGTTTCACACGAGGATCATAGTCAGAATAGTGACGAAGTAGATGCAAACACAACGCAACCCGCAATGACGAGAAAATTTTCGCTGAGAGACTCAGCCATAGCTGCGAGAATTCGTATTCAGAACCTTATATAAGCAATATGAGACCATGTAGTTTAAGCAGAAATCTCGAATTTCCGATATTATTGTTTATTCGAGTTTCTAAATATAGAACATTGAAAGATATAATACATTCATTCAAAACATAATTGAATACATCCTATATTTTTCTTGCTTACCTGCTGCTGGGAGTATTTAGCGGAGTCAAATCCATGATAAATTATTCCAAGTCATCCTCCCCTTTATACTAACAAACGGATTCTGTCGGTGAAGTGAGCAGCCTATCACAATTATTTAACTTTGACCAATTACAGTTCGGCCTTGTTTTGCTGCCTATATTTGAAACTTTGTTTGCGCCTAAATGTGTTTACATTCACGTTCGCATAGAGGGTATAAATATGCATGATTAGAGTTACCTTTCATGTATTACCAGTTGCCTCAGTACTCTATGTCAGTTTACTCTATATTACAATAAACCAATACTATGTTTTGCTACTGTAAACTTCGTTCGTGTGTCTCTCTGTCATTCATAATTGCCCTTAGCGTGAGCAATATTATACACAAACCACACTCCCACAACGTTGACAGGTCGTTTACGCAGGTATTTCGAAGTTTGCATGAATTTCACTACAGTCCACCACAAGACTGTGATCAAAATCAAAACATTGCCAGCATACTGTTCTGGTAATCCGTCTAGTAAATTCGGAGTTGTTCGTAGAATGTCGCTGTGCCTCACCTGACATTTGGAAATTAAAAGTGTACAGTAAGGTATATGTGGTGAAATGATCAATTACAGTAGTTCCTAGATTTACTCAACTTTATTAATCACGCTATTCATTTATTAACATTACCTATACATCTATTTACATGCTATGATACGTTTTAATGTTGTTTCACGGGACACATCAATTTGTGGTATCAGTTTCTTTCTTAGGCGAGACACTATTCAATGAATATTTAGATCTGTTCAACAAATAGTCCAGTAATTCTATAGGGTACGGTTTTAGAAGAAGAGAAGACAGTTTTATTATTAATAAAGGGATCATCAAACAGAGGCCAGCGGCGAGTTAGATGATGTCATGTAACTCAGTAGATATCGAAGGTAACATGCATATATGTTGGTATAAGTGATTTGCTTTTATCGTCGACGGCGCCCACGTAAACATTTTTGACTTTTTTTGTAATACTTGGTATATATCCTGGAAATGTATCTTGGCTGAATCTCTGACATTCAAACCTTACCTAAAATGTTTCGAATTCTTTATTTTAACAAACAAAATTTGGTGAAAATTGTATTTTCTGCGTCTTCTTGAAAATGGCTACTACAATGGTTTTAATAGTGTGTATATGCGCGCCTGGCGTAGACCCCTATTAGATTTAAATGTTCCTGATGGTATATTCAATTTTGTAATTTTAGGTAATATTTTTAGGGGTGAAAATGCAATTTGTGATTATCGACAACCGCTACTCAAACTGCTTGGATACTTCGTATATGTGTATCTTGATTGGACCTCTAATAGATTAGTTCTTTTACATTCTACAAATTCACATATCTTTCAATAACTGTATCTATACTACTGATAAG